GCATCTGCCTCTCTGGTCTGTTTCTGTTGTCTACTGCTGCCTGGGGTTTTCATTTGTGCTCCGTTACTTCTGTCTGCGAAAGTGCCTGCGGATATAATCTGATCTCCTCCTCCTCCCAAAAGGATTGGCACCTGTTCCTACCAGGGTGCTGGGGACACTTGTGTGGGCCAGCCTATTATCAGCAACTGAGGCAATACGAGTTAGCTAAGGGCTGCCCTGAAAGCCAGGTGTATCCTACCAGAACCCACCCAAAGAAAAGGGGTCCACTGGGGCCTGTTGAGTTTTGCTGTCTGGTTCAATGCTTGTCCAACTAGCTGTAAGGGTGGTTAAGGCCCAGCACATCCACTTAGGTCTGATAGGCTACCCAGTCCAAAAGAAAAATGACCCAATTATCCCTAACTCCCAAGTGCCCCTTCCTCTCCTGAGCTTCCCTTTCTTCAGTGCTTCAAATGTCCCTTCAGGGGTTCGACTATCACCATGACACTCCTGCGCCCTGTCCCTTCTTTGGACTGGCTGGGTATTTTTCCTGGTTGTAATTTTCTCCACCCTATTAGTTTGGAAGTAACACTCTCTTGTGTCCTAGCAACAGCCCCAAAGACTAAGGAATGTCCTAGTGTGTATTTCCTGTTCAGACTTCCTCATACTGCCTGTATCATGTGCTATTTGGACAAAAGACACAGGTATCTTCTCGGCCACCACTCTGTTATCCTGCCCACAAGTGTGCCACTTTGCTCTTCCCAGGGCTGGCACCCTGTTCCTTCTGTCACAGGAGCCCCTGCAGTACAGAGCTGCTAGCAAGCAGCTTTGGTCCGTGTCTAGTGAGCACACCAGAACAGAGTGCGCCACTGCCGGGTGCACAGTCTCATCTGCGGAGTCCCTCCCACCGGCAACGCCTGCAGTTGAGAAGGCAGATGAGGCATGCTGCCTCACTCCACACTAGACGTGTCAATCGAACCTGTCAGTGTGACTGCAGGGAGTTACCTGCTCCTCTCTGCCCAAGTCTCCTGGGGCAGTGTAGTGCTGTCTGAAGGTAATCACAGGCTGGGGAAGGGTCACCGCTGTGCCAGCAGAGCTCTGGGATCTGGCCATACACCCATGCTCTCTAGAAATCACTAGTACACTTCTATGGAGACTGACTAAGCTGTCACCTCACCCCACGGGGTTGCCGTTGTCCACTCTTCCCTCTGCAGGCTTTTCTAGTAAACCATAGTGATTTAAAAGGTATCTCAGTGCAGTGGGGCACATGCTCTTGTGTTTATTAGGCACATAGAGACCTGGTGGATATGTTTCAGTCCTTTGCCTTTTTGTTATTTTGACCAAACAGAATCTCAGCAGTCAGTGGTAGTCTGTCTCTCCGTAACTGGAAGACTTTAGTAAGACCAGGCCTCCTCTGCCCCTCAGATCCTCTCGAACCGTGGGGCTGTCTTTATCACTCTCAGAAGATCTGCTGAGTCTCTTACATACTAAGGAAATGGGGCCAGTCTCTCTTAGGCGCTGAGATATCCTTTAACAATTTTGTCTCATGTAGGTGAGGATGACGCAGAACTCCTGTTCTGCTGCCTCCATCGCCCAGGTGCTGGGATGTCAGACTTGTGCCATCGTGTGCACCTAAGCAATGTCTTCTGGCCTGAGCTCAGCGCTGCCAGCTTTTCCTTTACCCCGGACTTTTATATCCAGCAAGTGACCTTTGCCCTAGCCAAGGTCAGAGTTCACTACCTAGTTTACTACACCCCCACTTTTGGTTCCTTGTGAGATTCCAGCTGCCACCAGCTTCATTGTAGTCCTTGTGTCCCCTGTCCCAGCAGCCTCATATCCTCATTATGAGTCTCTGTCCTAAGTGTCAGAGTGTTCCACACTATCTGCTGCTGGGCTACACAGGTCCATCAAGACAGACAACTGTCATTCTTAAAGATTTTCTATTCGTGTGCATATGCCTGCCATGGGAGTGGGAGAAGTGTCGGGACTCCAAGGAGGCACTCTTAACCACGGAGCCATTTCTCCAGTCACTCCGCTTGTCCTCTGCCACAGAAGCTCCTACTTGCTTCTACTTGAAATTTCACTGGCTGCACCATTCAGAGAACCCACACCTTCACAAATGATGCTTTGATTCGTGGCCTGACCACCCTGCATTTCCTTGGCTTTTCTCTAGTTCAGTAACAGCTTCCTCAGCATCTCTTGTTAAGATTTATTCCTGTGGGTTGAAGATTCTAGGAGTCTGTAATAAACAGAATTAAAGAGCAACAGTGCTGTCTCTATTCTGAGATGAGAGTTGATTTCTAAGTGGTCTGTGGCAACACCCAGGAAAAGGCCCACTCACAGCTTTCTTGGTCAGTTCCTGTGATGTCTGTCAGGTGTACACATCTACGGTATCTATAGATAGGAGGTTCACATCTGGCTTTCCAGTCTCATCTGGCTACTCAGTATTAACTAATCCTTGCCATTATGCAGAGTAACCAAGGTTTCGGGCATCCTCATCTGCCACATGTTCAAGAAGCTTTCCAAATCCAAGTTCAGAGAATATTTGTCACAGGTTTCTTATAGATGACTTTGATCAAATCGATTGCAACTTTGCTGAAAGTCCCCTTAACTATAAAGAAGTGAATTTTACATAGCCTTTTTCTGTTTAAGATAACCATATGGTCATATTAACATAGTAAGTCACAATGACTTTCAAAATATTGTACCAAGCATGCATGCATGAACCCAACTAAATCTGGGTGAGGTGACACATCCTTTGCTGTTACACAGCCTGCTCATGCTTTGGGGTAGCTCAGACACTCACAAGCAACAAGTCTTTTCTTCTTCTCCTTCCTTCCTTCTCTCCTACCTCATTCCATTCTGGTGTCTCAGATGCCATCCCATTAGTCTTCCCAATCCATAGATAACAGTTCTGGGACAGCCTCATCTTCCAATGCCTGAGGGGTCTGTGGAGACCTCCACAGAAACAACTAGTGGCCTGTTATATCAGGTTATCAACTGTTTGAACTGTAAATGGAATCCTCTAAGTATAATCTTCCCACAGCACCAGTATTGGCTTTGTCATTTAGACTTAATTCTCCATCTCAAGTTTGTCTTTAGATTTTTCTTAGCATGCCTGATATATTCCATGTTTCTGACATCTCAATCTGTCATTCAATGCAGGCTATCTTCATGAGTCCACTTTTATTTATTTGACTGATGGGATGTGTTTTCCTCATTAAAATTTGCCTTAGTTCCATCTGGCCAGAGGACACACAACATGGCTCAAAGCCTGTGACAGGCTAAGTTCTTCAGCAATGCTCCAGAGAACACCTAAGAATACACCTTTCTCAAACTGCTGGATGATGTTCTATAGGAGACAAGCCAGGACTAATAGTCACTTGAGCACTAGTCTTTACAGATAATTACATATCATGTTTCTATATGGTTTTCAAATACTGAAGACTTAAAATTGCACGCCATTCCTAGTCTTTCTTCAAGGCAGTAAAAGTACTTTAAAATAATTCACTTGTCTTCTTGCCTGTTCTGAATTAGTCATGTTTTCCACTATTTGATTTCTTTAATGATATAGATCATTTCAGATCTGTTTCTATTCCATGTAGTCTGGTGGTCTCTTGCTCTAAGAATTTCCATCAGGGTCCATCTTTCTAGTCTTGAAAATCCTCTGGAATCACCTTTCCAGGGGGGCATCTCCAGCACAGGGCTTCAATTGTTATGTTTTTTGCCAAATGCAATCCATTTGTCAAAAATAATCTTGAGATATAATAAACACCAAACATTTCACTGTTTTAAATGACTAATCCAGTGGCCTGGTGTACAGGACAAAAGTAACTGTTATCCAATCCAGACAATTGTCACCACCCCACAGGCACAATATCCCCTGTATGTAACTCCCACCATCCCTCTCTTCAGATCCTGACAATTTGTTACTATTTATCTGTCCATTCATATAATCTTCCAGTAGTCTTTGCCCTCTGGTTTCTTTCACTCACTGATGTTTTCAAGTTCATCATGCCACGGTGTGGGCCAGAGTGCCGATCCTGTGGCAGTTGAATAATCTTCTGTATCCAGAGACATGCTTTGGTCACCTGTTCATATGCTGGACCTTTGGGCTATTTCCACTTCAGGTTCTTATGAAAGGGGCTCTTGTGAATGTGCACACATAGGTGTATGCATGAAAACAGGGGATATTCCTGGGATTACAAAGCGGGGCCATATGACACACTGTCACTAGCTTTCAGAACACGTTCTCTGAAGACCTGACTCTGCTGCCATCTCATATTCTACATGTCTGAGGATGGATTTATATGTACTATGCTTCTTATGTGGGTGCTTTCCTCTCTGGATCCTTCTGGAACCATTCTTCCATTCTCCATTCTTGCCTGGGATCCTGCCAGGATGTGTTACATAGGCTTGTAACCTCCAGCCTCCATGCCTTTCCCCATTTTCCCCACACAGGGCCATCTTCAGCAGTGGCCAGCCTCCTATGATGGTCACAAACCGTCAAACTGTCTATTCCAGAGAGCTGCTCTCCTCTGCTACCTCAGCATGATTAACCAGCCCAAGAATTCAGAATGTGGTGGTATGAGACAGGCATGATAATTGGGACAGGAACTTTGAAGTCTTCCAGGAAAAGCCTTGTGCATGGCATTGTCGGTCAGTAAGGACAACTTTATTGGCATTTCACAAGCTAATGATGTGACTATTTGAAACTGCTTTCTCTGCAGAGGCATGGCCTTTTCCACAGGGCATGCTCCAAGGACCCCTGGGGTTGCACTTTATGGAGCCTAAGCATTCAGAAGAGGATAGGCTGGAATTACCTTGCCTTTGAGTGCTCAGCCATGATGAAATGCAAGCCAGATGCCCCAAGGGGTACCCAGAGCTCATGCTCCCTAGCAGTGAGGGCCAGAGCAGGAATTCCCTGGTAGCATGGACCTGGAAATGACTATGTGTCCCAGCACCCATCTTGGGACTGGGCACCCTGGGAAGTCCTCTCATGGTGCAACAACACTGAGCCTCTGTGGCCATAAATACACTTTATTTCTTTAGAAATGCATAATTACACTGTGGAGCACTCCCCTAGCAGTGGGTCCGCAGTGCTCCAGCATCATCAGCTGTATCCAATACCTATGTCAGGACCCCGAAGGGAGCACACGGCCAAGGCTTCTGCTACTCCACAGTTGTGTTTCTGTTGTGTGTGGTTTGGGTTTTTTTTTTTTCCATTTTCTGTTTTGTTATAAACACCATAGCAAATTAAAAAAAGCTGTTTAAACAAAATATTGTAGTTCTTGTTTTTCTGAATGTACTCAACACGCTCTGCACTATACTTCTCCTCCAGAGACCAGCAGTGGGACTCAATCCTGAGGTGCCTTCCAGCAGGGGGTGGCCAGGACCTTTCCCAAGAGGAGGAACTTTCACATGCCCTGCAGAATCCACAGTTGCTCTGCTGAAGCAGGAGAGCAGGACACAGGGCAGTGTCAGTGAGCAGCTGTGGTGTGGTTCTCCTACAATGCCTGGTCTCACTGGATCTGGATGGCTCCATGTTCAAGCTGCATTTCGGGCTGCAGAGTGGGCTGCAATGCCTCAGCCGTCTGCTAGGTGGGGAAGAAAAGAAAGCTGTTCTAGAAAAACACTGCAGCACACTTGTGTTGGCAAGCCACCCATGTTATAAAAAGCCACAACCTGCGCACACAAGTAGAAAACACACATCAGCCTCAGAGTTCAGTGTGTGCCAGGCTTCCCCTGACCTGATGGGAAACAACCAGACCCCACACTTGCTCAGGAGAACTTGGGCTCCCGGGGCCATAATGTGGCAAACTCTCCATCCTTACCTCAAGGTGCCCTGAGAAACAACTCAGATTAGCCATGCATGTTCTTAACCTGGCATATTTGCCTAAAATCTCAGGGTCACACTGACTTCCACAGAAACTGCCCCAGTGTTCTAAAGTAGCATCTTGGGACAATCTGAAAACATGGCACCTGTACGTGATGTACATTAGAAAGACTATGCAGTCACTGTTTTAAGGTGTGAGCTTGCAACCTTGGAATGAGTCACTGATCTTCCATCTCAGCTGTACTGCAGGGGCACCAAAGGATAAGCTACCAGGGCTTGGGCGCTGGGTCAGGAACAGGGCCTGCACCACATGAGGCAGAAGTCTCATAGTCATATCCCCATAGCACTGGCACCTGACAGCTCTTATTGTACATCTAAGTCTGCTTTTTCAAGACAAAGACTTGACTACTGTCTCCTTTAAGAAGGGAGGGAAGGAGGTGGGCATAGTGGCACACACATTTAGTTCCTGTACTTTGGAGGAAGAGGCAGGAGGAGCTCTTTGAGTTCAAGGCCAGCCTGGTCTACACAGTGAGTTCCAGGAGTCATAGCTACATAGTGGGATCCTGTTTGTGCAGGGGTAGGAGATTAAGGAAAGAAATAAAGTGGCTTGTTCCTCTCTCACCAATGCGGATAACATGGCTGAGGCTGTGTTCAGCTGATTTTAAAAAGGGGGAGTGGGGGAGTGGGAAGAGGGTTACAGTTTGGACAGAAGGATATGAACTGAAGTGCTTTCTATGAAACTCTGCTCACCAGGCAAGAGAGAGACCTTGGGATTTATCAGAAATTTGCAAAAGCGAGATCAAGTGGGCAGCTGTGTGGCAGGCTAAAGGGAGTAGCCTTTTGAGACTTGACAGGCATTATGGCTGAGGCCTGAAGATGGGGAGGCCTTCATCTCAAGTCAAGTTCCTTCCCTGAGAACCTGAAGAGTCATTCCTAGACCTTCAGGGAACAAAGCTTGCAGTGCTCTCTCCTAGGACACCTAGCCTGGCAGCTAAGCCTTCCAATTCCTGAGGTAGATAGGCCCCAACAGCCCCTGGGGGAAGTAAAATCATGACCAGTCTGAGGCCAAGGCCTGGTTCTCAGGCTCTGGGGACCAGAAACTTCTGTTAGAACCTGCACTGCTCACTGTACCAGGCCCATAGCACACCAAGGAAGGAGCTCCTACCAGAGCCAGCTAGAAGTATACAGAGGGAGGTAGGAGACTTGTCCTCATGACACAAACTCAGATGTCTTGAGCGTCTGCCTCCCTACCACTGCTACCTACCTTGGTTGGGCTGAGACCACATGAGCCCAGAGCTTCTGGCCTGTGGGATGGATGTTCTGCCTGGCAGAGGGCTGTGACCTTCAACAGAAGGGGCAATGGGTTCTCAAGAAACAGAGGCCCTGACTCCAGGCACCCTCTAAGAGTGGCTCTGAGGCAAGCGAGGGCAGGGCAGAGCTTTGGTCTAGTTTCTTATCTAGATAAACATTCCCAGACAGCTCACAATGCAAACTTCCAGAACTGTCCTCACATCATGATTCCAGGAGTTAAGGTTAATAGAAGACCCATGCCAGAGCGGGGTCTGTGTGCCTCTCTACAAGAGTTCCTACCTCTAGATGAACGTCAGACACATATCTACTTGAGAGGCCGGTGGGACTGAACCTGGGAGGGACAGAGGACTCACCTGTGCTGTAGCTGTGTGGTCACTCACAGGCGCCAGCTGGACGTACTGAACCTGAATGTCACTGCCCTGGAGAGGCGACCCATCTACTCCAGTAGCAGCAGGGTCCGAAGAGGCCACGGCTATGAGCTGAGCACCTTGCAGTACCTGGGGTTGGGGACAAAGCCAGGCTGGTCAGTGGAGCTTAGGTCAACTGACCCTCATTCTCTTCTGGTCCAGAAGCAGCAGGAGCTGCTTGTTGCATGGATGTAAATGCAATGTAGCCTCACTGCTCACTGCAGAGAGACACCTGGTTAAGTGAGTGTTACGCTTTTTGACTGTCATGGAATCTGCCACATCCACACATAGCCTTCTGCAAACATCTTTGTTAGACATAGACATTAGTCTTTTAAAGCCTGTGTAAAAACAAATAAGGTAGAACTTGGAAAGAGCTAACCAAACAAAACTGCACAGGCACACTGACATAGCAGGAGAGCTTAACAAACCCCTGGGCAGAGCCCATGTGTAGTCTGTAGCTTTAGAGAGGAAAACGAAAGGAGAGAGAGGGCTGCAGAGATGCTCAGTGGGTACACTGCCTGTGTGCAAGCATGAGGAATTGAGTTTGGACAGTCAGCATTCACACACAAGTCAGGAATGGCTGTGTATGCCTGTAACCCCCAACAGGAAGACTGCTGGAGCTAACGCAACGGCCAGCCTAGACAACAGAGTATTCTCCAGATTCAGTGAGAAACCTCATCTCAGGAGAAAAAAAAAGTTGAAGATAGATGAGGACACCAACTTCCACTTATGCACATGCAAATACAGGCACAGCACAGGCACACAGCACACGCATACTTGTGCACGTGCTCGTTTGCACATACACACATACATGCACACGCACACACGCGCGCGCACACACACACACGCACGCGCACACGCGCACATACACACACGCACGCACACACACACACAAAGAGAAAAGAAGGGAGACTGGAGGAGTGAACAGGCTCCTAGGGGGAGGTGTGACCCTTGAGGACAAGTCACTATACAAACATAACCTTCAGTCCTTTTTAGCTGTATCCATCATTCTGACCCTGCTTGACCCAGGCCCTGCCTCAGAATGGATCGGGAGGAAGGGGATAGGTCTGGGTGACTCCCACCTCTGGGTATCCTTCCTGTTGGCTTACTTCCTGCAAAATCCACTTGGTGCTCACACAACTGGTCAGGTGGCTCTAGGTGGGCAACACAGAGTCTCTGTCTGGTCACTCATAGTTGCCAGGAACCAAGGAGCCCCTTCATCAGGGCTGTGTACTATTCTAGGCGGGAAGGCCAGGAGTACCAGACATGGATCTCCAACAATGATCAAAACTGCCCATATCAGAGACACCTTTTGGCAAGATGGCACACACATCCTTTGGTATAAAAAAGACAGCATGTGACATGGCTCCCCACAACCAGAGACAGCAGTACAAACTCACCCAGGAACTACTAAGAAGCGCTGTACTTGTAAATAGTGCTGGCCTGTCTGTCAGATAACATGTGCCTTCTTAAAGGACACACTCCAAGTAAGAACAGTGTCTTCTATGCTAATGAGGGTCTGCCAAACCAAAATAGGCTCAGGTTCACAGGCAGTAGGAAAATATTTTTAATGACTTGAAAGCTCTTTTTATTTTTTTTGAATAACTGAGAAAAAAAGTGAGACAACTACTTGGGAATGTGAATGTTAGTAGACTTAATACAGCTGTCCCTTTAGAAACTCATGCTTGATGCCACAGTGGCAGTGTCAGGAAGTATCTTTCATAAGGGGCTGACGCCTAATATTCCTTTGGGAAGTAGTCAACCCCTTTCTTACTTCCAGTTTGATTCTGCTCACCTATGGAGGCCCTGACAGACTCTGCTCAGAGGGGAGCCAAGAGACAACACAAATAGTGAACCCAATGACTAGCATATCTCTGCACATATCTGGCCCTCATGACCTCTCTGAACCTGCTTGCTTCTGCTTGTCTTTATGTCAACGTGTTGGGATAAGAAGATAGTTTCCTTGACCTCACAGGAGCCACACATCCTGGTCAGCTACTCCGTGGGCCACAATGACAGACAGCAGGTTATACAAAATCAGGGAAACGCTGATCTTCATTCACCCTTCTCCAGGTGCTCAAGTTCAGGTTAATTAAAAGGAAAAGGAGTGTGTACACACATCTGCGTAGTTGGTTTCCAGGCAAGTTCAAAACTCAACATAAATACTTGCCTGGTATTTCTACCCAAAAAGTACCTCAGCACTACCTCTACCTCACACACCCTGCTGTGGCACAGCTACTGGCCACTCCCTCCCTCTTCAGAGCAAAGCAGGGCAACAGATGCTAAGCTGCCCAACAGCTGGCTGACAGTGAACACACCTTGTCTTAGACAAAGCTTGACCCCTCTCAGGGGGAAGCTTGCACAGTAAAATGACCTGGCTTTTCATGTTACTGACAGGCTTTCTCCTTCCACTCTGACTTGCGTCAGGTTCGTTATCTCCACTCGGAACTACATTTCTCCAGGCATTGTGCTTTGCTTCATCTGACCAAGCAGTTCAACTTAAACAAAACCAAGAATTTTACATTTAGAGCAGATGAAGCTTGTTTTGGGTACAGCCTTTCGTGGCAGACTGGGTTGGAGCATTGGCTCTTCCAGACCCTCCCTTGACCTCTCATGGACAGCCAAGATGGCTTGGGACCTCTCTTCCCCTGCATTTACTCACCCAGAGTACCTCCTGCCCTCCCCACTCAGCAGCTCTTGTGGATCTCAGTGGGTCCCATGGGCTCCCATGCCAACCCTGCACCCACCAAAAAAACATGCTCTGCAGAGAAATGGACTAGACTCACCCAGCATCTCAGTCACAGGAGCTTCCTGGTCTGACTGCAAGAACACTGGGCCAGACAGACAGAATACTACCTATGGCCCACTTGTGCCTGGCTGTCTCCCCTGACCTGCCCTGGCTCATCCACCAAAGTAACCCAGCTAGAGGCAAAGGGTGGCTCTCCATGTGCTCCTTGAACAGCAGAAGCAGCAGGCTTCAGATAGAAAGGACACTAACACCAGAACTGCTCCAAAAGCAGTATGATCCTGCCTCCATAAATACAAAGCTCTGTGGGGTGAGGGCTCTGAGCTCATCAGATAGGTCTGTCTTTCTAGCCAGTCATCAAATCATATACTTTCATATGCCATTAATGATTTCAAGTGTGTCTTCAGACACATGTGGTCATACATGTGCATTTGAATGCGTGTACATATAAGGCACATACCTGTTCATAGACACCTCATCAGTTTTACTATACCCCTAACATGCCCTTCTCCTATGGTGTCTCTGGTGTTTCTGGCTACCAAAGCAAGCTCTTATCCTCAGGCCTCTGTGGGTATACCAGCATGGACAATAGTAGTTATGTGGCAGCTTCTGTAAGTAAGCCTGAGCTCACAATGTGTGGCATCGTCTAACTTGCTGTAGGTTCTCAAAGGGCCAGATACCTGTGTGGCAAGCAGGCCCTGCCTGCTGTCCAGGACTCTAACCTGACCCTTCTTCTCATGGTCCCTGGAAAACACTGGTCAGGCCACCCACATCTCCCAACAAGAAACACTTACAAACCTGGATCATCTCATTTCCAGCAGGCAGATCAAGTGTGTCTCCTCCCAGAGGCCAAAGCTGGGAGGGATTAGCCTGGGCCACTGAGTCACCGCTGACAGGAATGGGATTCTGGCACAGGCCCCACGACTGGAAGAGATCAGAATGGGGGCTATAGGCTTGGCAGTGACATGTCAAGCCACAGATCCCACCTTGTGGGGAAGAGATAGGAAAAGGGGGAGGTGCTGGCACACTGTGGCTGCCTGGTTTGCTATCTCCTGGGAACTCAGAAGCCAGGTCACCTTTGAAAACCCCAAGTCAGGAGTTGTAACATAACCACAATTTCCCAATCATGTTCCATTTTAACAAGATCCCTCCATAATGAGTCTAAGGTAACTATAGCTTCTTTTAAGGAAACTTCTGCAATCATGAAACCTGTTTCCCAGGAATATCTGCCTGTGTTGACTGCAGCAAAGCAGCACCCTCCCTGATCAGCACCCCAATAATGCTGTCCTGCCAACATTGCCAATAAAACCACTTTCTGTATGAAACATGAAGTTGGTTAAATCTGAGGTGCTGTACTGTAAGAAAACCTGAATTTGCAGTTTTAAGACAAGTGTAACTTGACTAATCAATCAATGAATGGAAGCAAGATTCTCATCTGGGCAAAGCTTAGAAAGTCATGACTTTCAAAGACTAGAGCTACCAGGCCTAGCTTGCAAACTTTCTCCTAGTGAGAAAGCTGTGGGGCCTGGACCCCAGCTGTGGGATTTGACCAAGTGCATTTCAACTGTGTGGAAGAACTGGTGAGCTCTCACCTTGGCTGGCTTCTGTGAAGAAGAAACTTGAAGATCAATATTCATATCAAGGGTGCCATCACCATGATCACAGGGAGGGCACTTGCCTGGGAAGGCCTGGCCATACCTGAACTGTCCAGTTCTGGCCATGCTTCCCCCTGTGTGTCTCTGGTCCACACTCAACACTTATCAGCCTCATGACCAGTTCTTCTCCAGCAGCAGGAGCAGACATGCACCTGTTCTGTTGTGTGGGCCATTCGTGAACCTGCCTCCAGCACCAGAAGAGTGAAAGCTCCAAGGCACTTCCCAGATAGTTACCAAAACAAGCATGATGGCTAATAATCCTAGCACTTGGTGGGGAGAAGCAGGAGATTAGGGGTTCAAAGCCAGCCTTGGCTACTTAAGTGAGTTGGAGGTCAGCCACAGCTGTATGAGACCACAACAACCCAAGTCTGGTTTCACTGGAAATGCTACTCCAGGTGAAGGAGGACAGCCATGAGGAAGACTGATGCAGGAAGAGCCAGCTGGGTGGGCATGGGCTGTTCATCCCAAGAACTTCTTTGAAACTCTGTAGCCCAGGATAGTGGCGAGGGCAAGGAAGATGACATTTGGCATCTATCCTTACAAACAAGACTGAGGAAGGTCCCAGCAACACCAGAACACTTGCTCTGTGACTGACTCAAGCACCCAGCAGGTATCTACCACAAATGTTGGAAATATGTGCTGCACGTGCTCTGCTTGTTTAGAGCCCCTATCACAGCACTGTGCAAGAG